AAAGAATTGTTTTTGTACCCCTATCCCTACACCTAGCTCTCTAACCCTACCCTCCAGCACTCCCCAATTTAATTATACCGTACTTCCCTGATCATAAGCCCCTCCCGAGTATAAGTATAAGTGTTTTTACCCGGCGTCGACAACATTTTATTAAAATATGCATGTAAAAAGTGTGTTTCATTTGCATAACAATCATGATTGGTACTGTAGTTTGGTTCCTGATCGCATTAATTTCAGAGTGCATGGCGAGCGAACGTACGTATGGAACATGGTTCGCACCTTGTCTATACTGTTATTTACTCAGAATGAACCCTGATGTTGCAATACTGAAGTACTGTAAAATCTTTATTAGAAACCGCGGCTTCTATTAAAATGGTACAATGCAACAGAAGGGATGCGGTTTCTAATATAGGGGGTAATCCATATTTCTTTTGAGTAGTAGTTTTCGAAACACCAAAAATGTGATTGCCAAATAGTGAAACCTGGTCATAGAACATCATTTTACTTTACCAAATAATCATGTCCAGTGAGACTATTGTGAATGGGGTGTGAACTAGAAAACTATTCTTCGATATGACTTGTTGGCGACCGTGAAAGGTTTAAATACTTCCTCCACCTTTAGTTTACTTTTTGAAAATTGCGAATCAACAGCTTTTAGGGAAAAAATCACTGTTTGTTTGTCAAAATCACTGTTAACAGATCTCATTTTAACATCGCGGTAATTCACTTCTGCATTGCGTTGAAAAACTTACTTCGACAATAATTGGAAAACTTCGTCTGTACGACACAGCATTTTGATTGGTTAACGAAAGACATGACCTGTTAGGTCAAAGGAAGTTGTTCAAGAGTGCGTTCACGTCGCTTCATCGGGTGCCCTAAGTGACGTGGCAGTAGTGTCCCGTGGCAACAAGAGGGTTCCCGAGGAAGTTGATTACATGAACGTTATCCGAGGAAGTAGTGTCACACGCAACGTAATATTACCGTATTTGGTATAGTATAGGTGTGATGGTTCAAATACCAAAATGGCAACAGTAACAGAAAGACTTCCCTGGCAGCAATGATAAAATACGAACACGAAGCCAACAGATGAGGTTTCAACTGGTATTGGTATTATTATACTCTGCAAACATCAAGTACAATAACGCGGTAAAACTCCACTACTCCAATAACTAGATACTTGTACTCCAATACAATTCAACGAAATCTCCGATCCGAACTCAGTGCTGAACTACTCCCCTATATATACCCACACTGTCTATAAATAGACTATTACATCAGCATACATAATGAGTCTGGAATTTACTATAAATTTCTAGAATGTTCCATTACCTTCTATTGCCTCCTACAGTGTTCTATTACCTATTCAACCAGTTTCTAAAAAAAAATCTAGAATATTCCACCCAGACACAGTACAGTTCTAGAACATTCTCAGTGACACGGAAGTGGTAAATAAGTCGTATGCGACAAGTAGTATCACATGATTTTATTGGTTCGTTGCTCTGCAAGCAGGGGCGGTAAAAACTGCCCAGAGTCGCCCCAGTTGTGACGTCACCCAGCAGTCGAACAAAAACTGGGCAGACGCGATGCACCCCGGGTCACCCTGAGACGACAGCGCAAATGCACTCCAGGTCAAATCAACCATGATGAAAAACGACATGGTGGAATTTGTTTTGTATCAAGTGTTTGCGTATGATCGAAAACATTCCACAACGAAGATAATGATAAAGATCTTGTCTTCGACTGTTTTTCCACAGACCCTACCCATTTTTGCACCGTAATTTCATACGGTATGTAAACCGTATTGTAATAAAATGTGTGTAATTTTATGAACATGTTTGTTTCTTCATTATAAAAAGTGTCCTGGAAATCAATGACGACTCGTTTCATTTTTACTTCCGATATCTTCAATTCTCTAATTTTGATGAATATTTTTGTAATTTTTAATTGAAATGTACATTGCTAACAGCGTAGCTATCTCAGCCGACGGGCTGCTTGTTTTTTTCTTTAAAAAGACTTAATATTCCCTCAAGCCTGACATGGTGAACGAGATGTAATTTAGGAAATCATTTTTTCTGAGGTGGTCCTCAAGTATAGGCCCACCCCCTTACTTTCCCTGATTTTACATGATGAGGCCCCTGGCTTATGATCGAGGAAGTACAAATGTACAGTAAGTTAACCTCATCTTCACCAGCCAAGGTTTATTTATTGGGCTGTCGCCTTACCATTTTCCAAGACATGTACCTTGGCAGAATTCTAACTATAAACTTGTATTCACTGTGGATGAACTCAAAAACAATGACACATGTATTTCCATGATAAATTGAACATAAAGTAAAAAACAGAAAAATCGACAGAAAAATCGTTATTATCCGGTTTCACTTCATTTTAATTCTAGTGGACATAATATTACAGATATGTCTATTTCTGGTGTATGTGTTGTCAATGGCAACGAAAATCAGCTCAGGCGTGTCGAGGAGGAAACTATATTCCGCCTTGGAACTAAAGAACCCCATGGTATTAACAAACAGTTCAACTCATTTGTTGAGCTCACTACCTAAGGCACGTTATTTGTTCTATTGTGGAATTTTTTGTGATTCTAACTTATAGTTCATGCGCGTTCTTACGTTCCTATGTTCTACCTGTACGCTATCACACTTGCTTCTATGCTATCGATAAAGAGCCATTGCTTGAAACATCTTTTTTATTCACTTGCTTCTATGCTATCGATAAAGAGCCATTGCTCGAAACGTCTAGCTATTTTTAATAGTTATTTAGGACTACGATTACCAAATATTATCTTCAATAGAACATAAAGTAATGTAGTTTTACATGATTCCATGGGAAACCAAAAGCGAAGTCATGTCTTTTGGTCAGTTAGGCTATGTTGTGATATAAGACAGCAAACACTATTGATTGAAATTTGAAATTGATGCAAGTTGTTCTTACAGGACTGCTGATTGGTGGATCTAGCTCATTAAGGGCCCAATCAAATCATTCAATTCAATTGAGGTCAAATACAGATTTTCTGACACTATCACGCGCAGGTTCGTAGGGTGGTCAGCCTCATTGAAACAGTGCAAATCGGACTATGAATTACTAGTATCTTTGGCCCAGACAAAAAAAATCAATTTGTGTGTCAGTAAAAGTGCATATGTTTGAGGATTTTGTCATAATTTAAAAATTTTATTTTTATGTAAAATAAAAATGAATGTTTTTTAACAATTTTATGATAAAAATAAAATAAATGCAAAAAACAAATTCACCAATACCAGAAGCATTTTCTGAGTAAAGCCAACAAAGCAGAACCGCTTGTTGAAGTAAAATGTAGATATTATATGGTTTTGGTAACAATTTTAAATCCAGCTTTATTGGTATTAACTTTATTACCAGTAATCCACCAGTGTCTGACTAAACTATCTTGTTCTTTAACAGCCACAATGGGTATATTGCAAAGCAAACCAACAGATTCCAACAGGCATTTTAAAAAGGATCTATCTACGCCAATATTAACAAGGCGTATTATTGCACTGCTGCCTGACCCAAGGTCACCATCCAATCAGATTGAACGTACTCCAGTACAAGTTATGAAGCCACCTGATCATCTTGTGTTATTGAGTGATCCCAGGTCACCCACTACAAACTTTGTTAGAACTCCAATTGTCTGTGATAAGACAACACATCAAGGTGAGTTTACAATAAAACACATCTAAAATCAAATTTGGTTTATGCCCAAAGTTACCTCCTATGCTGTACATTACATGCACATGGGTTCAGTTATCTGAAAATTACTGTAAAACATGTCTTTTTCGCGAGCATGTCTTTTTCGCGAATTTAGTGAGAGAACTGATTCGCTAATTCAAGATGTCGCTAATGACTTTGTTATCAATTTAAAATGGCCGCCAACAAAGAAATCAACAATGACAATGAAGATTCGCTAAATCAACATTTCGCTATTACGTCAATTTACCACAATTCGCTAAAATTGCATGCCGCTTTTTCAACGTGTTATACAGTAGATTGGGACATTTTGTCATAATGGCAACTAATGGTATGGAACATTTCTAATTATTTGCAATACTTTGGGTGTGAATCAATAAATGTAACTGAAAACACTTTAGGTCCTTGTCTGAAATGATTGAACAAAATAACATTTACAAAATTTTGAAAAAACACCAGCATATTGCCGATGATGTCCAGGAACATCTGTATCACTGTACTGTAACTGAAAAATGCCTTCTATGGTCATTTTTTTTTTTTCGCTTTTTAGAAATAAATTATAAATTAATATTTTTTATATTTAATAATGCAGCTACATGCGTGTATATTACCATATACGTGTGCATCTTTTCATAGCATCCATCACTGATATAAGAAGACAACTTGTTGCTTTTGAAGCACAACTGAGTGTTTCTGATATTAGTTTGGATCAGTCCTGCAGTGAAAGCCTAGGAGAGAATGTGGCAGCAGTTACAAGCAATACAGTAGAAGCTCCAATTGAAATTCATCAAAGTCCTGTCAAGGAAACTGAAGAACCAGGCTTCGACTTTGATGAGAAAAATCCAACCATTATTGTTGCTGATGATGCTAATGATGAAGATGGTGAATGTTCAGATGTTGAAGAAGTTGTTTCCCAAGTGTTAAATGAGATGGTCGCCACGACAACGGAAGGAAAGCAAGAGATCAGCACGCCTGAGTATGACAAAGAATTACATCAAATAGAACGTAAATGTCATCTTAGAGAATTTAATGGTTTGCGCTCAACTGAAGATGTCGCTGTTATTGAACCACTTATAGGTAAATATATTGAATACGTGTAATATCTTAAGGATGCGATATGGTACATATGGAGAACATGTAATTTTTAGCATTCTCACAAACGGAGCTAAGTCACGATCCCCCAAACGTTGCCAAGACCAATCACGAACAGAAAAAGACAATGAATTTTTGGATTAACACCTCTGTTTTTCACCAACTTTCTCCCACGCTATCGAAAAAATCTTTTGTTTTCTACTGACTTTCTGTTCCGGTCCGTCTGTGAGAGTTATTTTTTGATACTGAAGTTTGATAGATACAATACACTGATTTATTGTGACCTGAAAACACTGTTTTTGTACCAAAAAACTGAGTATTCATTAGATGAATCAATGAAATTCTCTAATACTCAAATGCACAGGGTGTTTTGGTTCGTACAATAATATTCAATGCTCATGCATATTTTTGGTGAAATTTTTTTGATTTTCCATCTAATGCCTCATGGCTTTCTATGGCAACTGGTCAGCCATCACAAAGGAACCATGGTCCCTTTCAGTATTCAAACATACTAGCATGTCTGTGGTTGGTCTGCAAGCAAGCCATACCCCATAACGTGTAAGAGAAAAAAAAATAGAGGGTCACCTTTGAGGTACATGTACTTCTTTTGGAGAAGTAAAGTTTGATTCAAAATTTTCTCAGTAGAGATTCTTGTTTCTCATTCTATGGTAGCTTATCTTTTTGGGATTGGTCCCCACATGTTTTATTGTTAAAGTGTATTGTTAGGAAATAGTCTATTTCCCAAGTTTACCAGTCTGAAGGTTACTGAATTTATTTAATAATTGTTTTGATATATACTCAATGTATTGAATGCCCGGTTTGCTTGATTTGTATCTCAGCCGATTTTGAAAACTTTCTTGCAATTTTTACGTGAAACCAGGGGTTTTGGAGGGCGCAAGCTTCAAAAAATTGGAGAGTTTCTTGGATTTGTAACTGCCCTAACAGTATGTATATAGCCTTCTCTCCACTCTGTCTTATTGAACAAATACTTAGCTTGACTGATAAAAGCATGTCTTTTTGATATGACCAAATAAGGTACAGACCTTTTAAAATTATTTTGGTAAGGTAAGGGTGACTTGTATATTTTTGTTAGTCCCCTCTCGGGCACAGTCCAAAATAGGAACTTATGAATTACCGATAACCTTCATGTGTCTGTCTGTGCATTCCAACCAAATACATCTTGGGATTCAAGATGGCCGAATGGTGGCCATTTTATGCTTGGAACTTATCGAAATCAAGCATTTCTGCCATTCCGGAACTGGATTTTGGTCGTCCATTGATGGATTTTGTTAATTTTGTTGCATATAGTGCACATAATGAGATCTTGAAGGACGTCATTTTGTTTTTCAGATCAGATTCAAAATGGCTGACTGGCTGCCATTTTAGTTAACAAATGCTGTTCCAGAATCCTAACAGCTCTATAGTTACATATATGTACATATATTTTTTTCAAGAGCTGATTCAAGATGGCCAAATAATATTATTTCTGTCTTTCTGGACCCATAAGTCGATTATACATAAACAGCTATTGTCCATCAATGAACATGTATGTACTGTACATACTTCCCGTTCATAAGCCAAGGGGCTCAACATGTACACACATACATTGACTGATCACAAGTATAAGAAGTATAATAATTATTGTCATTTAAAAATTCAATTTATTTTCACAGAAACAGAAAATGTTCTGAAGGTGAGAAAACCGAAAAGGCACAATAACATAACTAAAACAAGTAAAAAACATATGTTATCGTCACCGCAAAGATCACCATTAACTGTAATTAATGCAGAAAGCTCACCACGGGTACTGGTACAGAGGAAACAAACCACAGACAAACAAACATTTGTCAAGACTCCTCAAGGTCAGCAGCGGAAGAGAAGTAGTATGGGAATGAACATAAATGGAGTGAGGTTGATGATGGTTAATAAAGAAAATATGTAAACATTGAACAATTTGGTATCACATTATTTTTATTACCGACAGTTTCTAACAATCTTGTTTTCTTTTTTGGTATCAGTTATGTGTTTTTTGAGCATTGTGTAGTCATATTAAAATTTTTTTATTTTTTTTTTATTTGTATACTGCCACACTATATTATATACTGCCACGTTATACATGTATTAAAACACTGTCTTGATATATTTTATACTATCATGTTATATTTTATACTGCCATGCTACAAATTATGGACATATAGATATGAGATCTTGTTTTTGTGTTTGTATATAAGACCAGCTTTCACTATAGGAAATACTCTGATTTCACCCAGTGTGGTTAAAGTATATTATATATATATATATATATATCAGTAGTACCAATGCTGCACGTAAATATATATATATATCTTCTACTTACATGCTTTATTAGTTGTGCTTGCGCTTAGGTATATTAATTAAAAAGTGTTTTTATGGTTGAAGGAATTAATTTTGTTAATGATCCTGCAAACAACAAATGCAATTTTTACTTAATATTCACTCCTATCACAGATGTGCTTATGTTAAAGCTAATACGGTATTGTTTTTGTTTTTTTGTTTAAACACCAGGACATATAAATAATTGTTTATCATATTTTGTTTGATATTCCTATTGCTATATACACTGGATTGTGATGTATGCATAAGTAAAAACATTGGTTCACTTTATGACAAATCTACTGCAGCTTATGTATATTAACACACAGTCAAAGAAAATAACTGCCATACATAGTCGTCACCTGTGCATGCGTCAAATGGTCATAGCGTGTCATTGTTTACAAACAAGCGTCTACTCATGAGCCTTTGCGTTTTTAGCGTGTGTTGTTATAATTGCTTGAAACTCAATTCTCGCGCATGCACAGGTGACGACCCTCCCGCTTTAAATTTTCATATTATTTTTAGTAATTATTTGTATCTTGTGAGTACAAATGCTGTGCATATGTTCATATTGAACAATTATATGCCGTAAACCCGACCATGAAAACAAAAAAATAAGGGTGATTTGCACTATATTTTTGTCAGATGACTGTTAGCCAATTAGTTTGTCAGATCCTTTCAATTGAAATGTGATGTAAGTGGAGGCTAACTGGTCAATCTCAATATACTGATTCATTAGTTTTGGTGCACATGCCTCTAAGGGCATCTGACCAACTATTTATGACCTATGAATCATGTTCAAAATTCAAAATCAGCAGCCAGTCAGAACTTGTGATACTAGACATTTAAAATTGTGTAACAGTCACTTTTCATGGCAAAAGTAATGTGCCCCTTTCATAACTTCAAACACTATTTCAGAATAGAAGACCACTCTTTTCTGGAATTTGACATAGACATACAATGGTATATTTTCAAAAAAATACTGGTGTTTTTTTTTATATCTGCTGTAAATGTTTTTGCACATTGGCAATTATATCTTTTATATAAGCAATCTTTGTACATATCATACTATCTATTTTTTCACGTCAACTGTATTCACCAAATATATTTTAATGTTACAAATTACGATTCAATATTATACTTTTGTGTTATAAACAAGTATAATATAAATAACTGTCAGATTCACTGGAGTCAATAAACCCATGTTTTTACTTGTAATTATTTGTAAATCCAACTGTTTACTAATCAGTCTTATTCAAATCCGAATGATATATGATTTGATTGCCTTTATCCTGAACCATCTAAATTATGCAAAGCACTCTCGCATAAATTAGAGCATGTGATATATAGTTTGAAGCTATGGCATCACTGCACAAGCTCTAAAGTGACTGGCAATTGAATTCATAAATATTTAGGTTTATGAAAATATATAATGTACATGACTTTATTGTAATCATTCAACAAGTATATTTTACTTCTATATTCCTATAAATTACGATTCAATATTATATTAAGGTGTTCATGTTATAAATAATTGAAACAAGTCATTGTCAATGAAACGTCCCCGTTCCGTTCATATTTGAGTGACATATACATTCAAAGCAGCAACAATATGGATGTTGAACTGCATTCAGTAAAACAAAATAGCCACCAGTCAACCATTTTCAAAACAATCCAAAAAAAAATTTAAACTAAATATGCCCACGCATGACATAGATTCAGTTCCGGTATGGTGAAAATGTGCAATTTTTGTGAATTTTTGACCTTAAAAGGACTGGCCCAAATGCACAGACATATGTATGGTATGATGTGTATGTGAAGTTTGAACTTGATTTGTCCAGGTATGTCCGAGATATGGATCGAAAACTAAATTCTTTAAAACAAAATGGCCGCCAGTTGGCCATTTTGAACTTGATCCAAAGAAAAATTGGTATGCATCAAGCTTATATTATGTTTAATATATGCACTAAATCTGAACAAAATCCATCCATGCATGACTGAGATCCGGTTCCGGAATTGTGAAAATACGCGATTTTGATGCATTTTCGGCCTTAAAATGGCCATCATTCAGCTATTGTTAAGCGGATCATGAAACAAATGCACATATCTATTTGTGACATGATGTACCATGTGTGTGTGAAGTTTGAACTTGATCAATCCAGACATGTCTCAGATATGGATCCAGAACTGAATTCTTTAAAACAAAATGGCCGCCAGTCGGCCATTTCAAACATGATCCGAAAAAAAAATGACGTGCATCAAGGTCCTATTATTTTTAATGTATGTACCAAATTTGAACAAAATCCGTCCATGCATAACTGAGATCCTGGTCCGGAATGGTGAAAATGTGCGATTTCAATGCATTTTCGGCCTTAAAGCGGCCGCCATTTGGCTATCGTTAATGAGATCATGAAACAAATGCACATACATA